TCGTGTACATTGAGATTTTTAAAATTTTGTCCATGTCTGGCAATTAGTTTTTGTTGGCAATTTCTGGCGCCGACCAATGGCTTTCTGCAAACTTAAGCGGCTTAAAGGCATGTTTCGTATCTGGTCCGGCAAATCAATTAATAGGCTGACTGTCAGCGTGTTCAGGCTGATAAATATGCCATAAAGATGCGTCAACATAAAATTGCATGCCTGAAATTGCTGAACAAAGTGCCGAAAGTACAAGAAATAAAATGAAACAGCAACCTATAAACTGCTTAGAAAATTTAAAGGCCACATAAACTGTCATAAACTCTAAAGCATGGTAGTGGCAGTGGCAGTAGCAGGAGTGGCGACAAAAAATGTTGCCCAAGAATTTTAGCTCGAGCTACATACGTTGTTGTTGCAACGGCTTGCTGGGCGCTTTTTGTATTGTGGCCCGCAGGCGATTGTGGCACAACGCAGTCCGTGAGGCAGTCGAAGACAAGCTGTTGCCGGTCGAGTTGGTCGGCGGGGCCCATTGTGTCTATAACCCTTTGCTGCCAGCCACATATCAAGCACATTTTCACAGCGGACGCACACACTTCTTCCCCAGCAGGGGGTGATGGGGGCTTGCCATTTTCACGCCTGCAGCTTTCATTAGTTCAATGTCAATGTTGTTTTTTGTGTTTCTCGAGCTGTGGGTGTGCTACACGGAAGAAAACGCATCAATTTTTGCTTTTTTGGTCAATGTGAGCTTCTCCACATTTAATCGTTATTATTGGATAACAATTGGAGGGTTTTGGGTTTATGTTTAGGAATGATGAAACACTTCTGGGTTAAAACAATTGTATACTGCACCTAAATGTTAGTTAAGCCAGTGTATTGTTTTCAAAGAGGCCCACAAATGTTCAGCCTTAGCTTGGGTTGTGAAAAATTCACAAATTAATTTCCTTCCTTTTACAACTGCTAGAGTAATCCTACAAGACGAAACACTGAAGCCGAGTTTTGAATACCCCTTTACCAATCGAATGTACATGTTTAGCATGTTGAGATGATTCATGATCATCCTTATCCTTATGAACACTAAGAACTTTCACCCACAACAAAAATGCACACATAATTTCGTATGTAGGCTTACCCCTCATACCTACAAGTTTATTATTTACTTCATATATATAGTACTTCAGAGACTTACTAATTTATATAGCTGCCATAAATCCATATGTTACAACATAGTTTATAGTTGTTTGATGGGTTCAGGGAGCTCAAGAGTGAGAGTGGTACGACCTTATCGCGTTACTCTATCTATTGTAGATCGATTGCAGTTCGAGAACCTACAATTAATAAATCAGATAACATTTTCCATTGGTTTCAAGTTCAGGCGAACTTCTCGTGCTTTAATGCGTAAAAATCATTTTTAAAGTTTAATAAACAATAAAATAAAAAAGGAAAATGAACTGTTTAGGTTTGGATTTCAAAAGCCACACAAATATTGCAAATAATTAAAATATTCAAAAATATTACAAATGAATATTTATTTCATTTTTGTCTGTAAGAGTTTGAATTATCAATTTGAGAGTTGATAAATTTTCGAAGCTGCCTTTACTAACGCACTAAATATCTCCGCAAGAATTCCAATTCTGTCTGTGTACCTTTCCTCATGCCCCAATCCTACTTCTGACCTATTTAATGCTTGTTAGTTGCTTGGTTTTTAATTTTAAGCGCACCTTGTCTGACTGTTCTCTGTTTACCTGTGGAGAAAATGAGCTGCAGGTGCGGATGAGGAACATGCAGCTCAGCAGGTCTTTGATTAAATGTGACCTCCATGGTGCTGCATCTGAAATGTGCAAATTAAAATGGTTTTTCATGTGACACACAGACACACACACCCACACACAAAATCACAATACAGCAAATCAAGCGAAAAACAATTTTCTGCCAGCTGACGAGAGCAGTAAATGTGTATGTAAACGGATACGTAAACCCTCTGTGTATATTCAGGAAATGCATTAGCCCTAGCTTCAGGCTAGTCCAGATGCCAGGAGCAGGACCTGAGTATCCATTAGATACATTTATTGTTCATTTTTTGTTGCCTTGGCAAACCATTACCAAAAATATAAAAGCATTTGCATTAACAACCCCGCACGCTAAGCAACGTCTCAATTGAGAAGCATGCCTATACATATACGAACATCTGGGTGCCAACTTTGTTAATTGCACGACTCATTGGTCAGTTTTCAGCGATGAGAACAAGCATCGATTGAATTGCAAAGATTGTGGCACAGCTTGTGCTATTTCCTGTACCCGAATGCTTGATGGGTATACTAGAAAGTTTAAAGTCTAGCTACCAGACAGTAGGAAACGTGGCAGACTCCAAGTTATAGGTGCACATATCGATAAAGGGCGTAGGCAGGAGGGGCAGAAGGGGCAGAAGGGGCCGTTGTCCCCCCTAAAAATGTTTACATATAAAGTCGACCACACGTTTATTATTATCACGCACTATTTGGCCTTAAAATGGAACTGAGTTGGATTTGTTGGAGTTTTTTCATTGATCGTATGCATAATTTTTTTTTAAAAGCCGCGTGCATTATTTAATCAAAATTTTAATTTTTTCAAAACCAAACGATAGGTTCAGAACTCGCTCAGAACTTTCAACTATTTATTTCAGTGTAGACATCAAACTTAATACCAACAACTTATAATAACTTGTAATAATCAAAATTGTATTCATTATATGAAAAACCTCATTAAACTTTGAAGTTTTACCAAAATTGGTCAGCTATATAATATGCATAGTATAGCTGTATAATATGGAGAGTATAGGTAATTCTAAGTTTGTTGAAAATCGACTTACTATGTTTGAACGATCAATTCAAAAATCACTCTAAGTTCTGATAAGTCTCCCGTTAATTTTTGTATAATGTTGGTATTTGTAAGCTTTTTATAAAAATGTTGCCATATAAAGTAGGCCACACGTTCACCTTAAAATGGAACTGAGTTGGATTTGTTGAAGTTTTTTCATTGATTATATGCATACATTATTTTTTATATGCATCGTGCATTACTTAATCAAAATTTTAATGTGTTGGCCCCCTGCTGCGTACGCCCTTGAAGATAGGTACTGGGTATCCAAAAGTCGACATTCACATTTTACTCGCCTCTAGTGGATGCCTGTGTCGCCCCTTCAAATACAATTAGCAGTTTGATTCTTTTTCTGTGCAATTTGTAAATTTAAACACAATTTTTTAATTTAAAATCAACTCGAATTTACAAGTCATCAAAATGGTAGCGTCAAAAAAGAAATTCAATAACAACGCAGCGAGTAAACGAGCTGCGATGTGAGGTTATTGGACTTGGATATGCCCTGTAGAACTTTATTTATTTGCTTATTTTTGAGAGTTAGCTTCCCATTCGATTAAAGCTGTAAAAAAGTCGAAAAGTGGCGTAATTATCGACGATTCATAAGTAGTGAGGCCAATGTATTTGCAACAGCTATTTGACTTTTTAATAAAAAAATATAAAAATAATTTACAATGTAAAGTGATTTCAAAAAAGGCAACGTTTTTTCATCAAATTTCTTACCAATTATCAGTAGTTTTTTCTATGAAGTCCTAATTATAAATGACTGAGTATTAAACCTGCAAATTATTTGCATGATCGTGATATACGATGGTGGAAAATCAATATGCCTCTGGCTAAAGGGGTGCTAAAGCGATGAAACTAAATATCATTCCCAATAACGATAACAACAACAAGAAGAGTAGCAACAACAACCAATTGCGAAGCAATAAAGCGCATAGTTTGTTAAGCCCTTTGACAAACTTTCGTTGAATAAAAAAGAACAGAAAAGCAATATGCGTATATTAAATAAATTTATTAGAATTTTTTTATTTATGCGCTGGCTGCTGTTCATTATTTTTAACGTGCACACTCTTGCGAGGAAAGTTGAGCCTGTTTCTGCTTTTGTTAGTCACCATTCAAATGCAAATAGAAAAGTTGTTCGACATTTTGAAGTGCTGCTTCTAGCATCGTATAAATTACATACGCCAATCCAAAATGAAAAACTATTTGCAGCAGCAATATATTAAGAGCTGGGAAGCTATTAGGCCATAAAGTTCGTCTGTCATTTAATGAGTTAAGCAATCAAGTAGGAATTCAATAAGTTGGTCTTCGATATGAATAATTGCATTGGAAGTCCTGGTAAATAAATTCTTAGTGTCTTAATAATTTTTACTAGTTTCTAGATATTATTAGAAAACCGTATACAGACTCATAGGCAATAAAAGCACAGACAAATAATAATAAGGGCCTAAGCAGCACAACAAATGAAATGAAAAAAGCACGCGGAATCAAAAATGTAAATCACTTTTTATTAGCAAAAAGTTGGGCTTCTGTTATTGCTTCTTCTCTGGACTTCTGAAAACAGGACTCACATCAAGCAAGTAGATACAGCTCGGATGAATAGATTGGATATTTCTAGATACTTCTAGATAGGAAGCTCACCACAATTTGCATTTCAAAAATGTTGTTAAGGTAGAAATTTAGCTTTGACTTGTGCGCTGCCAAATAAACTGAACATACTATAGATCTCGAAAATAGTAATTTAATTCTAGTTGAAAACTCTTATTAGTTTTTTTAAATTAGAAGTGACATTTTCATTGAAAGACTTATTAAATAGTTGTAGTATATTGGACAAATCGACTACACACAGAGATTAAATCAAACATTTTATGCTTAATTCGATAGTAAACAGTCACAGAATTACGGCCATAAAAACTGTCAACAGTTAGAACTCAAAACTTTTGTAAATCAGGAAACCATTATTCATTATTTCAAATGTATTTAATTTATGTGTTGAGTAGAAACTAAAGGTGATAGTTGACCTTAGTTAAGAAAGTTAAGTCTTGGAAAATTATAAGTAGACTTGCCAAAGTTGTTAAAAGTTGCTGCAATACGTTAGCAGTTCGTATTCGTATTCAATGGCAACTCTAGGAGTGTCAAGTGGTGTCAGAAAGGTGTTGAATCATTTTCACTCATTTCATGATTTTTGTGTGATATTTTTTTCTCCCTTGTCGAGCCGGCCTGCTGGACCTGCAAAAAAGCAAAAAATAGAAACCAGGTAAACACTTGACTTAGCCAGAGAAACTTGATATGCTTTATAAAGGACACGGCCAGTTTTCAGCGCTGAAATGTTAAATGGTCTCAGTATCAAATTAACGAATGCTACGGAAATCACCAAACAAACAACTGAGTACGATTCTGCAGATACGGTGCCCCCACATTTGATTCAACTCGGTCTGGGCACACTGAAGAAAATGTCGGATTTGAATGAAGCACAGCGTTTGTTCAAGCCACAATCGTCCAAAGACGATAAGGGGAAGGATGAAGAGCTTTTTGTTAAGCGGCCCGCTTTCAATAGACGACAACGTATGAAGAAGACCATAAGTTCGGAGCAGGAGGTCAAAGACCTGAAAGAGTTGGACCAACAAGAAGAAGAGAGTCTAAGTAGAAAATCGGCTGGAAAGCCAGCAACGGACGTGAAGAAAACTGGCAGAGCGGTAGTGAAAATGTCCAGGCGTCAGATGATGTCCTACTCAATGCCCGGAGCACGTCAATTGTACAACTTTCTGAAGCAATTCGCCTCGCATCGTTGGGTGGCCTTTGAATTCCTCGACTCCTATATTGATGGTCCCATATTTGCCGCTCAATACGATACCGAGCGCTTCATGCGTGAGTGCTGCCCCCAAGTGGAGACGCGGATGCTGCCACGTCGCGCCTGGCAATTGGTGCGTCGGCATATGGGAAAGGCGCGTCGCTTTTCAGTCGCCTTCATCGCTCAGGAGCGCCTCGAATTAGCACGGACCCGTCGCATTTTACGCTTCCTGCAGCAACGTAACTTCGAGGAATTCCAGGACACGGCACTGTTGGAACACTTGCCCAAGATGATACCTCTACCACTGGCCAAAGATGCTCGCGTCACCAGCTATGTGGCCATGGCCACTGTGGGTATTTGTGATGGCCGTGTCATGAGCTACGATCAAAATGACTCGAGCTATCTGGTGAAGCTTCACATTTGTGGCAACCCAACGGTCGTCAATATGCCCGACTATCGCTTACAAGCTGTTGATGAATGCAAAGTCCTGATGTTGTCCAACATTGTGCAGGTGGTGAATGGACAGCCCGATGAGAGCGGCATATTGGAGAGGGAGCAGGGTAGCGAGGACCAGAACAGCCAGAGTACTGAGGGTGACTATAGTAGGGAACTGCTTGGCGCGGTAGTGCAGCTCCGAAACTTAGTGGACGTCAAGCAGAAGACCGTGCTGGCCATCGCCAAAATGAACGAAAGTTATGAAGCCAACTGGAAGCCAACACGTCGTGAGCCAAAGAAAACGCCTCAAAATGATAAATTGCAGCGTGTCTTTGCCACGAATATGCTGACCTTGCATCGCATTAATGGCGAAATACTCGAACCACTCAATGTGGTGCAGAACTTCTTCAATGAATACGAGAAGAAGCCAGCAGATAGCAAACATCTGGTGGGCAATGCTCTGTATAAGAAATGTCGCTCCTTGGCCGATCATGATCTCAAGTCGCTGAAGAATGACTTGCGAGTAAAGTCGCCGAATACTCTGCTCCTGTTGTTGAATCTACAGATTCTACTCTATTTCTGCGCAGAACTGGGTTTTGAAAATAACGACGAAGTGGAGACGATGATAAATGATTTTATAGCCGATATGCTAAAACATATGCCCGCAAAGCTGGCTTCACTGTTCAAAGAGATAGTTCAACCAGTGTTGCAGCCATTCCGTCAGCGCATTATGTGTAAGACTAATAGAGCTCAGTCTAAACAGCAGCAGGTGCCTCAACAGCTCAACCTGCCAACTTTGAACAATGGCTGTCAACTGCAACAGCAGCTGCCCCAACAGTACACTGGAGCAATGGCGGTTGAGGGGTGTCTACTGCAACCACCACCACCACCACAACCGACACCGCCACCGCCACCACAGCAGCATCTGGAGCAGCCTCAACAGCAGTTCGATGTGCCTATGATAACCGAGCAAGAAGAGGTGGTGCTGTATTCCCCCAATTTTGTTGTCTAAATAAAGCTGCACAATTAAGTGAAGATGCAAGCTCGTTAGGAATTCCACAGTTTTCCACGGGACTAACCTGTAGTTCAGCGGAATTAACTTGGAAAAATTTAGATGCCTCGCATACTTTCGCATGTCTTCAGAGAACATCTGATGCGCTAGTCATAAAGTGGAAAGTTTGAAGAGTTTAGTGTTTCTCCCAAAGGTACTACGACATGGTCAAGATTATTTCCAGCCCAACTGTGGTTGACTTGTTACTGCTTCTTTGGGAAATTTGGGATGTTATTGGGAGAGTTGTTAAATCAACGTGGTATTAGGGCATTGTTTAGAAACAAACTCACTCTATTGTAAGGGCTATTTTGATTTTTTTTAGAAGTTATGAGATAGTTAGGAAGTTTCTGAAAGTCCTTTCAAACGCTATACCGATCATCGCAGGCTTCAATCAAACCTAACCCACAGTACATACTGTGATTGCTTCATGTAATATAATCTGCTTTAGGGATGATATAAACAAGTCTCCTTCTGAAGGTACCGGTGAGTCGTTAACCAAATACATCCAACACCGATCACTATTCAAATTTGGGTGCCTTCTTTTGGCCTATCGGATAGTATACATTAAAAAAGAAGTGAGAGTGTAACTCAAAAGGCACCGGTAACTCGCCACCCGTATGCTGCAGGGCCCTGCACCACGGCCATGCTTGCTACCAGTAAGCCGACAGGGCACTAGGACAGCAACACCGCAACCAAAGTCAGTTCTCAGTATGAACTGCGGTTAGTTTGTTGTTGCCAGTTTTCTAGTTGATAGTCAAGTGACTTACGTGCAGGCTGCTGCGGAAGTCTAGCACCCATAATTATGCAACAATTATGTGAACGTTCTATTGTTGTTTTTAGTGTTGTTGTTATTGCTGTCACGCTCCGACCATTTGTCAAAGGAGTCAGCCGCAGCCGCAGACGCTGTAACCGCCAAGAGCAAGTTCAACGGTCAAAGCATGCTTCAGGACATTAGCTTGGAAGAAAACGACAAAACAAAAAATTTCTACGAAATTAAGGGAAAAACAATAACAGCATGTGACAAACACACTCACACCAGCTACTAAGTACTTGTCCTTGTAGTTTGGCCATAAAATATTTGCTATTAAGTGCAGCGGCTGGAACTCGCATTGTCCTCAGAATTCCATATTTAGCTGCGCTCTGCACATAAATCAGCATTTAAAGCATTTCCTATTTTTTAATTACCAAGATAAATGCGTTACGCGCATAAATTCAGCGCCCAAAGCCCTGTAGGAACTTTGCCAATAGTTGTGGCTATAAAAGACTTTATTAATATGCTGCTGGGAACACGAGCTGCCAAAGTGCATGAAGAAAAACGATCAACAAACCAGTTGGTTACTTCGCTGGAGGGGTGTGTTGGTGGGTGGATGGTTGTATATGTGTGTGTGTGTCTGTTCGTGTATCTGTGAATGCACTGCGAGCATAAACACTTGGCCACTTTGGATAAGTATTGGCGTCACATTGCACACTGGCCTAAGTCTCTATGCCGTTGCAGACAAGAGTTGACGGCTCGTAAATATTTATAAAATATTAATGTTGCAGTGGTGTAGTCCGCTATTGTTTATTGAGTGGGAAAAGGAAATGAGTTTGGAGTCTTAAAATAAAAGACATCTGAAATATTGGAGACTTGTCTTCAATGGAATGACATGCTCTTGACAACATGCCAAAACTTCAGATGTCTAAGCATTAGATGTCTAGTTGTCTGACATCAAAGCGACAGATATCCACACGGCAGTTTATTAGCATATGCATACCTGTCAGATGTCTAGGCGTCAGATGCATAAGTGTCAGATGTCTAGGTGTCAGATATCGAAGTGTCAGATATCCAAACAACAGATATATAAGCATATGTATATGTGTTAAATGTCTAGGCGTCAGATGTATAGGCGTCAGATATTTAAACATCAGATGTTTATGTTTCAGATCTCAAACGTGTCAGATGTCTAGTTTAAACAAAGAAAGATCGCTCGTATAATATTTAATCACCAATTTATGCATATGTACATATGTATATACATACATATGTATTGAAAGGTTTAGATTTCATGAATCGTTCACTTATTTTCTCGTTAGAAAATAATTATTATTCTTTATAGTGTTAGAACTTGTTCTTAATAAGTTGCAAATCAAAATTGGAACTGCGCAAAATCAAATAATTGGAATTCGACCGCTATATATATAATATTGTGCAGGAGTTGAACACCAATCTATCCTTCCGTGCGTACTTCTTGATACCTTCCACAGCTAAAGATATCAAACTCCCTTATTTAAATGTTTGATGTAAAATATTTATTTCAATATAGTTCTTATTGACTTGCTGATACTTTTCAAAAAGGCGAAACACCAAATGATCCTAAATTTTAGTTTGCAGTTAATTTGCCTTTCCTAAGCCTCTAAGATATAGGGGGTATGGGAAAGTTCGAAATAAATGTGCATCTTATCGTTAAGTCCAGACTTTTAGTTTATGAAGCCATATGTATAAATTTACTGCCTCCCGACCCCGCTATATAGCTTAAGTATAGCACGCCACTGCTCTAACAATTCATGGCTGCTTAAAGTGGAGAGCAGTCGCCTGTTTTGTCCTCCAGTCGTACCAGACGTTCGAGTGTCCTGCATTGCTGCCAAGTAGCAATGGCCATAGTCACAGTTAACAAACAAATGGCTGTAAATAAATTTCCCTTGGCTGGCTGGCTGTCAGTTCATGTACAGTACAGCAGTCTTGGCCAACACAAGTATATCTCAATCTGTAGTTATGCGCGTGTGTCCGGCCGGGCTGCTTAAAGTTGAAGCCACTACCGATACTGTCTTTAATGGACTGAGCCTCCGCGTTGGCAAGGCACAAAGTTTTGCACGCGTTTGCAATTATGCGACCTGAGTACATGAAACAATCCATGACAGATTATTTATGTTGAGTTGTTTTCTTGTTGATCAACTGGATCATTAATTATATTTGTGCAGCAGCAGCGGCATATGAAAGAAGCAATCATATAAAAACGCCAAGTTAATTGATTAACGATGAATGTGAGAGCTACTTACCTACTTAATACATATTGATATAACATACATTTACTTATATACTTGTAGATATGTATATATAATTGGCAGATGGTAGAAAACTTTTGCCCAGCCAGGCTACAATTTTCTTTATTAAATTGCCATTAATAGCTGCGCGGCTTGTTAGTGGGTCCAATTACGAAAAGGCGTAGAAAACTAGGTCACAAAATTGTAGGGAACGCATTGCTGATTAGTCAGATAAATAGCTAAAGTGTGTACTGAAGAATTGTAGATAGCTAGACGCAATTATTTCCCATTCCCTTCATTCAAGTCGTACGCATATCATGTTATACCCTTTAACGGATTCGCCTGACGACACGAATCGATATAGACATGTCCGTCTTTCCATTCGTATGAAGACCGTGAACTCTTTAGCCGTAACAGCGAGGGGCACACAACTGGGTATGTACACCAATCTTATCCATGAGCTGAGCAAGTTTATTTCCAGTTGTATGTACTGATATTATTAACTAATTTATATATGAGCAATTTTATTTCAAGTCGCACATACTGAGACGAGACTATTAACTGTTTTATAAAGGACCGATTGGTGAGAGTAATACTCTTCGTATTATAACTGTTTAAGCGCTTAAGATATTCCAAAAAAACGATGTATGTTTTGATTTTTATTGTGCATCTGCAACATCTGAAGTTTCATAAAAATCTAAAAAAGTTGTTAGATATTTAAAAAACTCTAAATTAGGTCGTTACAACCGTAGATTTGAATTCTTGGAAAATTACTTCTGAAAAAAAAAACATTTTTCAAAAATTTTGTATTATTCTACTCTTTTCGAAATTTTTCTAAAATCAAGAATTTGTTTTATTTTTTATTTAAATGTACACATATATGCATGTGTTTAAAAATGTTGTGGTTTGAATACCAAACACTAAATAATTTTATAATACTGTTACCTTTAATTAATATTTTTGTGAAAGTGGTTTCACGGTATTTAAGAGTCGGAGCCTCACCATTCTAGCAGACCATTTTGTTGATTATACATCTGATTGGTTGGCCTTCTCCATTTAAATTGGCCCTTGGAGTCTTGCCTGCTGCTGTGTGCCTGTTTGTGTAGTTGGACTTGTTAGCTCTCTAGGTATGCAGTAAATGCAACTGCAGCATTTTCATCTGCTGCTGCTTCTGTTGTTGCTACTCTGCCTGTAAATCAATGCGTAACATTCTTGTTTTGGTGTTTGTGTGTGTGTGTGTTTGTATGGAAAATATGATTTATGAAACAGTCCACAGTTCGTGGCGACAACGGTCATGGCGGTCACGTTTGCTAGAATAGCACATGTGACGCACTCGGTGCCGACAAATGCAAACAATATCAACAATAACAGCAACTACTGCAACTACAAAAACTACAACAACTACAAGAACAACATCAACAAAGGGCAAATTGCAGTGTTGGTTTAAGTTAAACTTTCCTTTGGTTGCGTTATAAATTACAGTGATTGATGCGGCGGAAAGGCCGTATAGGTCACGGCATTAATTATTGTTCAAAAACAAAGAAGAATTTTAATTAATGTTCAACATTATCGAGCTACAATCGCGATGTGAAGTTGTGATTATAATAATGTATAGTAAACTTACATTTTTAAATTTTAAGCAGAACCTGAAATTAATATTATTAAATAAAATACATTACAATATACTTAATATTCCATTTAACTGTCAAAGTTACTAAAAGCTGAGGGAGAGCAGTTTATCATGACAGCACTTTATAATTGACAGTTTAACCTCACGACCCCTATTAGCGTATTAAACTCCATATAATCTATTAATGGCAAGCATCCTGTATACACAGTAATTTTTTTCCTTTGTAGAATGTGTTGCAATCCAAAACAAAGAAAAAATCAAATTAAAGCTAACACATTTATTTCACTTCACTAATGTTAAAAATCCTTAAATTGACGAGTAGTTACTGTTTTT